CTGCCTCTTTCTCCTGCAACTGGAGCACACATGGAGCAAAAGGCAACTCCAACCATCCCAAGTCAAGGTGTATAATAAGTACAATATTTGTAGGGTTTTAAATCTTGAGTTAAGTCTTGTGGATCCATAGCAACAAAATATATTTCAAGTGGTCCCTGGTAAAGAAAAATATTAAGAACCACTGGCCTATGCTTTTACCCAGGGGTAGGCAACCTTTCCCCTTTAAGGGCCGAGGGACTTCAGCTTCCAGAAGCCTCAGCCATGTAGTCCTGGGATTCTGGGAGCTGAAGTCCATCAGCCCTTAAAGGAGAAAGGTTGCCTACCCCTGCTTTTACCCTTTATATCCTTGGCATAATCATTGGACTTGATATGCAGGTGTAATACCCTAAGTTTGACATGCAAGAGTTAAACCCACACTAAAAGCAGATGTGTGAGTACAGACATTCAGGCTGCTAGTATTTGAAGATCTGTCTTTCACAAACCCTAATGGCAACTCATCTTATTGCTATCAGAGGCTGTAGAAAGTGGGGTTTTAATGACTTATGGATTTAAAGGCAATAATTTTAGCTGTACAGGAAGCCTAGCTTTGGCAATTTTGAGTCCATTATAACTACCTCAAAATATCATCATCAGGAATTCTCAAATCACTTCATACAGCTCCCTCCCTCCTGCAGCTCCTTACATAAAAGGGAAAAATTGTCTGACACTCCCAAGTAAGTTAGCTTTCTATATCATAGAAAAGTTGGGTAAATAAGAAATATGAGTGTCTCATTTCTCTGTACATTCCTGGATTGGGCTGAGGCATGATGGCAAGGAAAAAAGCCCCATAATCAACACATAGAAGTGGCTGTGGGGAGTCCATCCATCACTGCCTCCATTATTGAGGGCCTCAGCTCTCAATTTTGGCTTGAGGGAATAGCTGTTAAGCCTTCCAGACTGCCCCATGAGCTGTTATGTGTAATGGCTGAACTCTTTCTCAGTTTCCTATACACCAGCATCTATTATGAAAATAAATGCATGCCACTTTCTGCTGAGGCAGAGTTCTTGAGATAAGCTGTGAAGAGCATTTCACATTTTGGTTCAGTTATCAGTGTATTGTTTGTTTAAACCAGGGATAAAGAACTCTGCACTCCAGTTGTATTTGTGTAGCAACTCATATATTCTCTCACAATGTGTGGGTTTGATGGGAATTGTAGGCTAAACAACAGTAGCCCACCCTGCGAGAGCCACAGTTGTCCAACCCTGGTTTAAGCTGTTGTGGGTTTGATCCAGATTAAGTTAGATGCTTGTAGGTCACACTGAAATCAATGGACCTTAGGCTGAATCAGGAATGGGTAACATAAGGACTTCTAGATATTGTTGGTCTGCCATTATCCCTAGATAGGCTACACAATAGTAAGGAATCATAGAAGTTCTCATCCAATATTGGCAAAATGCAATCGATCAGTACCCAGAAGGTCAAGCATTTTGCTGTTGTTGTGTGCCTTCAAGTCATTTCCGACATATGGAGACTTAAAATGGGGTTTTCTTGGCATGATTTTTAAAAGAGGCTTGCATTGGCTTCCCCTGAGGCTGAGAGCATGTCATTTACTGAAGGTTATCCAGTGGCTTTCATGGCTAAGTGGAAGTCTGCCAGAGTTGCAAACGTTCCCCATCCCTAAATCAAGTTATGACTTACCCATTGCTGCACTGGTGGTACATGGTCCTTCCTCAACTAGGTAAAGTTAATTGTAGTTAATGATGCTTTCACATCATCTCCCCATCAAAATAAATAGAAGGGTAACATTTTCCCACTGTATTTCATTCCACTGAATAAACAAAAATCCTTAAAATGCAACATAATAAAAATAGCTTGCATACCCTGTAAGCTACTGAGGCAGCACTAGTAAAGATGGAACAGTTATCTCGCTCTTCTTTAGCTTTGTTGACAAGCCTCATTCACAAGTTTAGATTCACTGACATGGAAGAGTACATGAGGTGCCTGCCCTGAAAATTGTTGCTAGCAGTCTCATTAACTTTAGTGGCTTTGATTTATGTAACTGACCTTTTAGGGAATGCTGAAACCCTGAAACCTGGCACCTTAGGGCTCCATTCTTTTAGAGGCTCTTGTTTCAGTTTTTTTTTCAAGCTGGCAGAATTGGCAGGATTCATTAGGAGCTGAAGTGCCCTCCATCTTAGCTGTTAATCTTTTTTAAAAGATAGATAAAAACTTTTAACCAAACTTTCTTCTGATAAATACTAATGTATAATAATATTTCTCAGGATAACTGATGTGGGAAACCAACTTGATTTTAGTGTGCCACAGACTGGTACCATAATTGTGATCATTGGCTATAACTGTTGCTTTCTTTCCTGGAAACTCAGTGTGGTCTGGCACCCGATGGCTCATATATTAGCACCAGTCCAGGGACCACCACTTCGAGTGCCATTGAAATATAACACTTGACATTGAGATTTCAAACATGTATACAGTGTACTCTATAGTATACATAAATGGTGTAGATACTTCAAGTATCTGATATGAAATATTAAAATAATCAGCTGAGAATTTCTTCGGTTAATAACAACAATAGTGAATTGCTTTAGAGTACTTTTCAAGTACTTAAAATGCTTCACACACATTTTATCTCTGAAACAAATCTATTAGAATTGTCTCCTACCTTGATGAGCTCTGGTAGGCTTACCTGGCATTGGAGTATAACACTTGACAATGAGTGTGTCATATGTTGAATCAGACTAGGCAGCTAGAATTTTAATTCTCCTAATGTGTTGCTCCATGAAATGATGTATTTCAATCAACACTGGATGTCTGTAAGCCACAGTCCAAATTTGGAACTTAGCTGTATTTTTAAAAAGGGCCCGATAGCAGGTGTCAGCTCTGAGGGTATCATGTGCTGATGTTATGCCTGAATCTGGTAGAGGAAGTCAAAAGTTCATTGGTCCTCTCCTTTTCATATCAGTCTGGAAACACCACCAGAAGTCTGGGTCCGGACGTCCAGCCCACTCTGGAAGTTTTCTGTTTGAAGGTTGTGTTTCCACAAGTCCGGGGCCAGAAGGACATCTGCAAGGGCTGGAGCTGTGCCCCCGTGGCCAAGAGGAGCACCATGTGGGCCTGGGGATTGCTCACATGGCCTCAGGAATGCTGGCATGGGTCTAGGGAACACCCCCTGCAGCCCGAGGAGCACCCATACGGGCCCAGGGAACATCCGCATGGGCTCAGGGAGCTCACATGGGGCCTCAGGAACACTGCTGCAGGCCCAAGGAGCGCCGGTGTGGTCCCAGGCAGCACCCACATGGGGCGGGGAGATGTCCGGGTGTCACCCCCCTTCTGGTAATACCTAGTGCAGCCTGACCCACCCACCCACCTGCATCCCCCCCAGTGATGCTATTGATATGAAGTCAAGGAGACAACTATTAGATCACTGAAATGTCATTTGGTAATCTTTAAGTTACCATTTTATGACATATGCTGAATTTGTATTGCAAAACTGCAACTGCAGAAGCCAGAAAAGAGGCAGTCCTTTATCTTAACTAGCTACCTTTACTTGGAAATTTCTTCTGATATATCAGTGGAGTTTCCTTCCATGGAATTATACTTTTGGCTTGTAGCCTCATAGCTGTCATGTTCAATCTCTGTGGTGTTGGTTAAAAAAATAAACGCTGAAATATTTTCAAGTTTTAAATCTCACAATTCCCCTGCTCCAGGTGGTTATGCTTGGACAAGACATGCACAGTGAGAGAAGAAAATAATTAATGGTGGTCTTATAGGTTTGTAATCAGTAATATATTTTCTGTTTAAAGCTGTTTCTTTGCTTTGAGGAACACACAGCTGTAGAGTTGAAGCAAATACTTGAAACAAATAAAACCAGAGAAAGGTGGGAAGGCCCAGTATACTGTAATTGTGAGTAATCTATAATTATGCAGATCTTTGCTACTAATCATATATTCAATATTGACTTCTAATGGTAATTTGGATAGTGTTAGTATTTGGCATGATTAAAGAGAAATTGTGGGTAATTTCAAAGTTTGTACATTCAGCATTGGGAATATTAGTTGGTCCAGTTTAAAATAATTGCCCAACTTGTGCTGTATTTCTTTTTAGTGGATATCTGCATGGCTGCTAGGACCTTATTGGGTTTTTAGTATTTTTTTGCACTGCATCTCAGAGGTTTTTAGAACATGTTGGAAAGTGACAAAATATCTTCACAATGTTTCCACACTGGATAGCACAGTTAACACATTACAGTGGCAGTTCTTATTTAGAGCTGACCCAAAGGCTGAGGAATTCAATCAATAGCTATCCCCTTGCTGCTGACTGAACTGCAACTCACAGGTCAAAAAAAGAGGGAATTGCAAGTTAAGTTGACCTCTGTACAGTGGTTTTATCTATTTGTTACTACTACTGTTTTTGTTATTTTGGATTTCTCTGTAGGGTGGCTACAGAGTGGCTTAGAACTATTTATAAAAGCCAAACAAACACATAAATCCAAAGCAAAGCAGCCTTTACCAATTTATTTATTTATATTATTTCTATTTCATTATAAAATTGGAAAGGCTCTTCAAGTTTATACCTCTCACTATAACTGGAGTGACTTATGTATTAATGGAAAGAAGACAACATAGCCCCTCTTCTCAAACTTACAGGCTAAAAATGCATGACATAAACCAGCATGGCATTGTGGTTTGAGTGTTGGACTGTGACTCTAGAAACCAGGGTTCAAATCCCTGCTTGGTAATGAAAAACACTGAGTGACCGTGGGCAAGTCACAGTCTCCCAGCTTCAGAGGACGGCAATGGCAAACCCTCTCTGAAGAAACTTGCCAAGAAGACTTGTCATACGTTGGAAACAACTTGAAGGTGAACAACACACACACAAAAGGAAAAAAGGATGGAGAAGACAGAGAGAAAAATAAGAGTACCCAGGCACAAGGCCTTAATACTGTGAAGTGGGATGTTGCTGGAAGAAAAACCTGATAGAGATGGCTTCCCAGAAAATGTGGTGATGGACCTTCTTTCCTTCTGTCTCTCATCTTTAGCCTGATGGGATGTCTGCTAACACAATCCGCATAGCAGATGGAAGTATATGCCTGCCAAAATCTTGACATTAATTATAGAACGGCTTCTTTTTTTTAAAAAAAAACTGTCAAAAAAAGTGGTCTGCTATATTGGGCTGCAGCAGAGTCACAACAATGCCTCAAAAGGTGAGTGGTGTTTATCTTGCCTTATTTTTT